TCAGCTCTGGTGATAGTTTTTTTGTTTGTTTGTTTGTTTGTTTGCTTTTTTTTTTGGCTAGGCAATGGGGTTAAGTGACTTGCCCAGAATCACACAGCTAGTTAAGTGTCAAGTGTCTAAGGCCAGATTTGAACTCAGGTCCTCCTGACTCCAGGGCCAGTGCTCTCTCCACTGCATCACCTAGCTGCCACTGGTGAAAATTTTTATAGATGTTTTTATGGGAATAGTAAAATCATCACTAGATTTACATATGTATATATTCAGTGGTGTACTGGAGCCAACTACAAGTGACTCAACAGAGCTACTTGTTAATTTTTTAGTGTGAAAATTTATACTATGGAAATTAGCAAAAGCTACAAGTCAAGGCTTGATTTATTGCTTTGTTGATCATCTAGACTTGAGGAAAGGATAAAGAAAATGTTAATTCAAAGTAAACTTTAAAGGTGTCATGTAATCTCTCCACCCTCCCCCAAACAGCCAGTTGCTAAACATTTACCAGCATGATGAGAGACAGTGAAATAGAAAAAACAGAAAGATATAAATAGATCTTTATATATCTATCTATATCTGCCGGAGAAAAGAGATACATCATGAAGATCAATTGTGAGGACATATTAATTCTTTCATTCATTCATTGAAAAATCATTTTACAATGATTTTTTACATTTACATTTTATTTGTAAGTCCACTATGCTCAGCCCTTGGACGGAATGACAAAATGAAAAATACCGCATTCCCTCAATCTGCATCAAAGAAATGAGTCACCATGTTAAGCAAATCACAGATCTCCTAAGTATTGAAGCAGTTGATGGCCTAGAATGACTGAACAGGATCTGGTAGGGGAAAGGGCGCAAGCCTCCTCTTGGTTTAATTGTGCTAATTGTTCTAGGTGCAAATGGTTCTGTCCCAACCTACTTTCCCCCTCCTCATCTACATTCCTGGCTCCCTTCAGAGAATTATAGCTAAGAACTCAACTGATGCACTAGTGAGTAGACCTTTTAAGTCTTTCAGACAGAAGATGAGGGAGGTGGTCTTTTCTTTTTGGCTTAAGAAAAGAAATGTGTTGTTGAATAATGAAAGCCAGAAGTGAAGACTTAGACAGGTAGAGTAAAACACTTGGAATTTTGCCATCCCTGAGAATATACATGCTATATTACCTAGACATTAAACAGATACTGCCTCTCAGTAAATTTTTGGTGGAGAGAAGGAGGTGGGAGAGACAGATGAGTAAGCGAAAAAAATTCAAATTGTAACATTTTCAGCTTCCTACTACTGCTAAAGAGGTACAGTTAAAGCTTGTCAAACTGACAGCAGTTTAACTATAGTGAGCTATGAAAATTTTTAAAAATATTATTTATTAAAATATTAATCTTATTATAATATTTGAACTCTAACGGAAGATACTGTGGTGAAAAATGAACCTAAACTGATAAGCAACTCAGAATATTAACCAGTATTTGTTGTATAACACTATCCCACTGTGAGGGGAAAGAAGGTGAAATACCCCTTAGCTTTCAAAGATAGTTCAGTATGATTCAGATATGTTATTTTCTCATTTTATTATAAAATACTAACATTAGCTGTTCTTTTCCTATTTGCTCTGGCATGTCTATTCAGAGAATAAGAGATGAGGATCTTCCTCTGGAAAAAGAGGGAATAAGACTAGATGATCTCTCTAAGGTATTCTGGATCCAATGAGTCTACATTGATATTGATTCGAAAAGCAAACATTCATGTATGACTGGAAAGCTAAGAAACTGAAAAAAATGCAAGCTCCATGTGTTAAATCTTTCTAAAATACCCCTCTACAGAGCATCTTATCTTTTCTGAGGCCCCTGAGAAAGTGCCATATGTAAAAGTATTATTAATAATAATTAAAAATAACAAATAATCTGAAATACTAACTTAAAACATAAAGAATAATTAACAATGATGCTATTGTTTCCAAAATAATCAAATCCTTCATAGTGCCATTAGTCAAATCCAAGTCTACACAAAGCAGTCAAGTTAAGAATCCTGAAACTGTATCTTGGATCTTGGATTTCCTATACAAGGTACCCCCCTTAACAATCTGATGCTGATCAATGAATTCAATAAAAAAACTGGAAAAACAGAACAAAACATTCGATGCACTGGTGAATGTATTGACGTTTCTGACAATTTTTGACCTAAACCAGTCACCTTGAGAAAAGAAATAATAATTTGTGCTATCAAATGACTGACTTTTAAAATGGTATTTAAAAAAAAAAGACAGGTACGAAGAGGGTACATATTTCTAATACCACTGCATTTAGGGACTAGATTGGGTCCATCATGAAAACAATTAGAGGAAAAGACTCTGTGATAATACATATAAAACTCCTAAATTTCTCTTCCTAATCCCGTGGTCTCCCAACCAAATCTAATTACAATGAAAAGATCTCTTAATAGAGAACTTCACCCAACATGTAACTAACCCTATCTTGAAAAGGAGCCCAATCAGTGTCCTGACAAGTTGATTGACTTAATGCCCCTAGGTACGACAATACTTAAAACATGGGGGGGGGGGGAGAGAAAAAGAGAGAGAAAGAGACAGAGAACACTGAACTAGAGAAAGGGTGTTCTTAAGTAAGACAAAAATGTGACTCCAGGATTACAGATTGTCAGTCAAGAGCAATTCAAGGTGCGGCCATGGTAATAGAAGAGGTTGTTGGTTCATGCTTAATGGATACTTCTATTTGTTAAGAGAAAAATACTCCCTAAATACCTTTAGTGTCTTCACAATCCATCTTTTATTTATAACACTTTTATATCTTTCCCACCATGGCTATTTCCTTGACATTATTTCAATATGATTTTGTAGTTATACTACATCAAATAAAGGAGAAGTATTTTCCAAAGACACAACCTCAATAGCTAGCACTTGGCAGCCAAGTGCTCATCCTGGCTTTGCATATTCACAAACAGGGTATCTCAGGTTGAAGTGACATCTACTCATCTACAACCAGAGCTACAAGGGTGTAGGACTTTCTCTCTGTTGAGAGAAGTGTAATCTGGCAAATAATGACTAGGTCACCATAGTCTCATTCAAGGGAATTGCATGAAAATTATCTCTGTTTAACATATATAAATGTATGTGTTATATATGTTATATACCTATATATCTATATATCTATGCTTATGTTATATGCATGTTCAGAGAGAAATTCACGCACAGAGAGAGAGGAAAAGAGAAGTGGAAGTATAGGAAAATCTAGAGCAGATTTCTATATGAATTATCAGATATAATGAAATCTAACACTTCTATCTCCCAATAGCCAACCCAATCCATGATCATATGGACCTGCCTTTTAGTAATTTTATTACAGTGCCAATATGAATGAAATCAGGTTTCCATAATAAAAAAGATGAAATTTTATTAACTCACTCAACAAAGAAAAAGGACCTTTAGCCAGATAATATATTTGCTGAGCATTGACATGAGGAGATGAAAGAAATGAATGGCAGCTCTTTTAACTTTGGGCTCCTTGCCCATAACACTGACATTGCTGACACACCCCAGGGGTGTTCCTAAAACATGGTAATAGTTATCAAAATTTGCAAGTCGGTTTAGAACAAACATTTACAAAACATTTTTCAAGTTGCTAAAACTCTGAATTTTCTGGAAAAAACACTTTTAAACAAATATATTTGGTTCCAATAAGTGTTAAAAATTTGAAGAAAAACCCTCAGTTTAAATTTCAGTATTTTCTTTGGTAAAGTTATGATGAAAAATGTGATGTAGTTGTCTTGATATTAATTACTTTCTCTTCTTATTTTAATAGAGAATATTTATTCTAAAATGAGCATAGAAATGATGATTGCTCAACTATCAGGAATTCAAAAAGGGCCAAACCTGATGCTGTAAATCCTACTGCCGAATCATAACATACTAATACTAAGGGACATCTTCAAATGTGGGGCATCTCAAGCACATGGTGCTCAAACCCTACATCAAAAAATGGAACTAGAAGAGAGCTTAAGATTCATCATTTGTTCTACAGAGACACTAAAGCCATATGGGATGACACAAACGGCTGAAGACGGCAGGACAGCAAATGTATGATGACTACAAATACTCTTTCCTGTCACTTTTAGGTGTGTGGTACTCAATAATTTTTAACGACCGAAATACATATTATGCTTATATGTTACTTACATTTAGAAGGGACCTCTGAACTCTGTGTTAGCTTTAGCCAGATTAGCGCACAGAGAAGTGATCCTACTGATATAACTGCTTCTTCTTCTCTCAAATGAAAAATATATAATTGAGCAATTTACTCAACAAAATATATCAAACTTACTTGTTTTCTAAGGCTACTTTGAAGCGATAAGCCTTTATTGAGAAAATCAGGTAAACAGAGAAGAAGTGAACGATGTTATCAACTCTTGACATATTCTAGCAGGAAAATTTTATAGGATATCTATCACATGAATACATATAGATGCAATTTTAAACATAATTTTGACAAATGAAATAATGTCTTGATTCCCAGACTTCTTGTACTTGTGACTCAATATCATTTCTTTTGATTACAAATAGCTTTCTCCATCCCCTAAAAGGATGTATGTATGTATGTTGAATAGTGTTTTAATTGAAATTAATTCTGTTTACAGGAATTTAACACAATTACCTTTAATGTAACTTAAGAAAGTCCATTATGTCATAAAATCAATTCTGGAATTCACTGCACTATAACGAATACTCCATTTTATCCAGAATATATTTTTGAGAGCATGAGCCATTCAAAATCACATATTTTTATGTTATCTTCCTTTTGTCACAATGACACCCTTTGCAAACTCTGCTAAAAAGAAAAATGTTGCTTTTCTTATGAAATAACCATGGCTAACAAATTGTCAAGACTGAACTCAACATCCTTACTATTTACTGTCAATCACTGTGCGCAATATAGGGAGATTCTTATCAGAAAAAAAAACTGAAGAGGCGCAGTAGGAGGAACACAGAACATTGCACCTACCATCGAATTTCTTGTGCCTTGACACAAAGGTGGTGCGCACAAAATGGCTTGTCTCTTCCACGAGATTTTCAAACTCCAGCTTGCTTTGTTGGCTCAATTTGTCCTCCATTTCTGTGGTGCAGCATGTGTATTCCTGAGGGCAGATTCTTAAGTGTTCCCCTAGAATAAGAGGATAAAATGGTGGTATGTGATTAAAAGTGCTGCAGCAGACTATTAGAAAGGCATTTCTCCATCACTACCCTGAAGTATCATGGTACCATTCTATCAGAATCTTACAATCATTGTCACAAATTACACCCTCACTTTACCAAAGGAAAAAGCCAACTTTTCTTTGGTGTAGTCCAAGTTACTAGCCATATAATGAAGGTGTATTAAGAGAACTAAAAAGATCATTGCTTTCTGTTTTCATTTGAAGTGCCCAAAGTAATATCTGGTGACAGTCCTAGTAATAAGGTTTTAGATGTCCTTGTCTTTAAAAGCTCAAGGTAGAGGAAAATATTTCAGCGATATTGCCATAGTCTGTTTAACAAGCAAGGGTAAGAATGGAAAATGATATTTCCCTGCTCTCACTTTCTCCCTGTCTATTCGAATGCAGCCACTATTCTCTCTGCACAAGTGAGTATAGTTTTAATGGCAGGTCTTGGGTCCCACACTTTCTCCTGGTCGACATTTCTTGTCAGACACAGAAAAAAAGCTCTCCTGAAAGAAGGAATGCACTGAAGGGTTTAATTAATGCTTATGTTATATGGAAATGCAATGTAAAAGGTAGTGAAAGCCTCTTATTTAATTCAACAGAGTTATCTCTTGATGTACCATGCCAGTTCTTTCAACAATATTGCTTTCTTCAGTGCTATTTGAAAGGGGAAGCCAATTCTTTACCTCATGAAATTAAAATGGTCTGTTATTACATAAAATGTGAATTTCCAATTGATGCAGCACTGTTAACGTCAAAAATATTTAGCATGGGCTCTGAGGAAGAAGGAAAGCCCACCCAAACTCTGGAGAAATAAAACTGACAAGATCTCCTGTGATTAAAGTCGCTCATAAAGCATTGAAAACATTAATACTAAGTGCTTGATGCTGTGATTAAAATTCATTTATAGTATTTAACAATACCAATAAAATAACTTGCAGTGCCCCAAGATCAAATATTAAGTATCTCGTGTCTCTCCAACTAGTGTTGTGTGTAAACCTCTGCGTATTAACACCACCCAAATCAAAAGTTACTATGTATGGATATTAAAGTATAGCCCTTGTATAATCCAAAGAAGTGGAAAGGATGGAAAAATTCATCCAAATGAAAATGAAGGGAAAATAAATTCTGTTACAGAGAGGATTGCCTAATGTTGCTGCTAGGCTACCAACTACCAGTCTTCAAAATTCATGGGGCAAAGGGAAAGGAAAGGGAAGGAAATTCCTAAGAACCAGAAACAGGGAACTTTAAAGATTATATTTTTAAATGGCATACATAAAAATGCTGAAAATTCTAGTACATCTTTAATATAGGAAAGATACTAGAGTAAAATCAGTTTATTTAGAATAATACATAACTGACAAGTAATGAATATGGTAATTTTGAGAAAACTGTACCAAAATCACTTCATTTCTTTCTGGAATCAAGTGACTAGCTGATCAGATTAGGAGGAGTCAATAGTGGAAATTCAGCAATGCTTTCTATTCCATTACACGTGACTTCCTCAAATACATGTGTGTGTGTGTGTGTGTGTGTGTGTGTGTGTGTGTGCACACGCGCAATTTACTATATTGGTAAAGAACATAAAGTACCATATTTATACAAGCTACATGTGGATCTGGCTTGTAGAAAGCTGAAGATACGGGCTATAATCAGTGTTAGCGTTCAGTCTTTCCATGTATCTTTTCCTTCTTTTAGAAGAATCTATAACGAGACTGTCACCAAGGCATTCACAATCTCTCTCACGTCCATCTCCTTCTTTTAATTCACAAGGCCACAAACCTGACTCAGAACCTCCTCATCTTACCTACAGGGTGACAGCAGCCTTCTTTCTATTCTCCTTGACTCGAGTCTCTCTCTTCTCCAATCTCTTCTCTACACCGAAGCCAAACTGATATTCCTAAAATCCAATCCTGACTTCATCCCTTATTCCCTTTGCTCCCATAGTTCCCTCTTTTCGCTAGGATAATATAAAAATTCCTTTTAAATTGGCTTTTGAAATCCTTTCTAATCTGACTATAGACCACTTTTCCAAACTAACTATATATCATTCTCTTTCAAATACCCTACTTTCTAGACAAAATGGCCTACTTGCTGTTCTCTACACATGAAATTCTCTCTCCCATTTCCATAACTTTGCACAGGTTGTCCCTCATATTTGGAAGGCACTACCAGCACCACCTACTCATCACCTTCTTTCAGCATCCTTACCATTCTCTGGGAAGCTCAAGTCAAGCATGGCTCTCTAAATGAAGCCTATCTTGTTCCCACCTATATAGTTGCTAATGACTTCCCCCCACAATTGCTTTGCATTTGATTTTTTAAAAATGTTTCTATATTTAAAAAAATAAATTTAAATTTACCTTTCTGTCTAAGCTGTTTTCCCCAAATAAAATATAAGGTCCTTGAAGGCAAAGTCTCTAATTTGTTGCCTTTGTATTCTTAGAGGCTAGCACAGTGCTGGAGACATAATAGTTTTTGGTTTTTTTTTTTTAAACATCAACTGAATGAATGAATGCATGGTTCAATATTTTGAGATGATGATCTGAACTATTTGAACCCCATCTTTGCATTTGCCAAGACAGTAGGATATAACTTTAAACCACATAGCAAAAAAATTGTTTGGATATATGTAAGAATATTTTGATTGTAAGATTCAGTTAACACTGAAACTGACAGCTGAAGAGGTTTCTGAAGGAATACCGCAGGAGCAATCTCAAAACAGAACATATCTTCTTCTCTGCTTTTTGTGTTGAGCCACTTAGAGACAAAAAGGGGTAGGGAGACGAGATGGATTTCTTGAGATCCCTTGCAGTGTTTGAGAAAGTAAATACTACCTTACATTCACAAAATTTCCACCAATACTTGTGCACACTTTTTAAAAATTAACACCACACACATATTCTTTCTTAAAAAATGTGTATTTCTCAGATTTGTTCATCTTGTTGTTTTTCCTAAAAGAAGTTTATGTTGAAACAGGGACATTTGCTAAACCTTTAGAATAATGTAGGGACCATATGAATTTAGTTGATACTCATGAATTAAATGCACATAACACAGGATTATAAATGAGAAGTTTTTTTTCCCCCCTATAGTTTCCAAACTCCAATTATAGAAGTGCAGCCACTTCCCTCAGGTCTTGAAAGGTTTATTTTCTTCCTTGTAAGCTTTTCACTGAGAGCTCTGTGAAGTTTCTTTTAGCAATCTTGCAATTTTACCAAAGTGGAATGCAGCAATGGTATATTGAATCTGGAAGAATGGTGATTTCATTAGTGAAGTTTGGGATGGTGATATCACTGCTTAGAGCAGGCCAAAAGAAGACGCAAACTGCAAAGTTGCTGAAACTACAGGCCCATTTATTTGGCTAGGAACAAAAAAATGTCCTGACTTAGAATGATTAGATAAATAATAAGCTTCAGGATACTCTTTCCAGACCACAGTAGCCTATATCCTGGAACACTGATTCTCTCTAATGTTACACAATGAAACCAGAAGAAGATGGTTTTTATTAGATCACTTTACCCTCTGCTATATATTCCCCTAAAGCTTCTAGGTAATGAGAAGCCAGTTAGATAGACACGGGGCCAGACCTGCAGGAAGATTATATCGACATCTAGGATTATTTTAAAAATATAAATCAGAGCTATATTCAGGAAGCCACTCAAGCTCATAGTCACTATAGGTTTTAATTATAGCCAATTAGGGATAGTTGGTAAGTTTCTAGGATATAGAAATTTTTGAACATGTTGGTTATTCCTTGGAAGCCAATTATTAATGCTTGTCTATATCTCATGCTGGTGCTCAGTCACTTAACATTTCCATAGCAATCTTAATTTTTTCCTCCCAAACCTTTTTCCATTTATCAATAAATTTTTGATGGTTTGCATATTAAATATATTTTCTCATCAGATCAGATCACTAATCAGATGAGATTAGTCATCTCATTATATCCAGTGAGTTCAATTATCATCTTTACTAAATGATTCCTAGATCTATTTATCCAGCCTTAATCCGTCTTCTAAGCTCTACTACTACATCATCAACTACCTATCGGACATTTCAAAACAGATATCTTGAAGACATCTCTTCAAAATCAATGTGTCCCAAACAGAATTTATTATCTTTCCTCTAAACTCTCTTCTCTCTCTTTCTGAACTTCACTATTCCTACCAAAGATACTACCAGCTTTCCAATTCCCCAGGTTTGTAACCTCAATGTCATCCACAACTTCTCTCTTGCTTACTTTGCATATTTAATGTGTTACCAGATCTTGGGTTTTCTTCCTCTCCTTTTCTTTCACACTTCTTCTAAGACACAATTCACTGTACTCTAGTTCAGACCCTAATCGTTTCATAACTGGACAATTGCAAAAGCCTACTGGATGGTGACCTTTCTCATGAGTCTCCCCTATCTAAGCCATCCCTTACAAAGCTGGTACCTCTAGGATAAAATATAAAATACTTTGGTTTTTAAGGCCTTGAATTCACAGCTGATGTCTTCTTACATTTCTATTCTTCTTACTCTTGATGCCCCTCCAGGAGCTCTACACTCTACTGACACTGGCCTAGGTTCTCTTGCTCACACGTGACATTCCATTTCCCAACTCTATATTTTTGTATTGCCTTTCTCGAATGCATCAACTACTCTTGCTCCTCACCTTTCATTTTCAGAATCCTTGGCTCCCTTTAAGATTCAAATCATGTGTAACTTTTTCTAGGCCTTGCCTGGTCTCCACAGCTACCACTGCTTTGCCCTTTAAGGCTAGCTTCCACCATCTCTACACTGATCTGGTAAGTACAGGTTTATTTATGTTGCTTTCCATCGTTAGTACGTAAGTTTCTTGGGGATAGGGGAAATTTTGCTTTTTCCTTCATCCCCAGACATTAGTATAATCTGTGGCACATTTTTGTTGTTCAGTCCTTCAGTTGTATCTCACTCTTCGTGGCTGAGTGGACCATAGCATGCC